TTATTTGCATTTAGAGATATTCACAGGTCTGAAGGCACTATGTGATTGAGTTTGTGCCAATTCCATCCAAAAGTCTGCCCCACCCCCATTACTGTGGACTGTGCAAAAATTAGCCATGTAGGAGCTTCGTCTTTGACTGGCCAGTCCGCCATATTGGATATTCGTCACTGGCCATATTGACAAATTATAGGAGTAAAGAGCATTTCTCCCCATTGTACACATAAATATGTTAGATTGGCATCTCAGGATTTCACTGGCACCAAAAATGTCATTTATAATTCCATAGTAGACCATTGTAAAAAATTGGCCATTTATCAAAAATTGGCCATGTAGGGGCTTCGTCATTGACTGGCCAGTGACAGAGTTAGACATGAAAATACTATTATGTTGGAATTTTGGAGATATTCACAAGCCTGAAGGCACTATGTGATTGAGTTTGTGCCAATTCCATTCCAAAATCTGCCCCACCCCCATTACTGTGGACTGTGCAAAAATTGGCCATGTAGGGGCTTCGTCTTTGACTGGCCAGTCCGCTATATTGGATAATTGTCACTGACCATATTTGAGAAATTATAGGAATAAAGAGCATTTCTCCCCATTGTACACCTAAATATGTCAGATTGGCATTTCAGGACCTCACTGGCACCAAAATTGTCGTTCATAATTCCATAGCAAACCATAGGAAAACACTGGCCATATATCAAAAATTAGCCATGTAGGGGCTTCGTCATTGACTGGCCAGTAACAAAGTTAGGCATGAAAATACCATTATGTTGGAATTTTAGAGATATTCACAGGTCTGAAGGCACCATGTGATTGAGTTTGTGCAAATTCCATCCAAAAGTCTGCCCTACCCCCATTACTGTGGACTGTGCAAAAATTGGCCATGTAGGGGCTTCGTCTTTGACTGGCCAGTCCGCCATATTGGATATTCGTCACTGGCCATATTTGAGAAATTATAGGAACAAAGAGCATTTCTCCCTATTGTACACCTAAATATGTTAGATTGGCGTCTCAGGACCTCAATGGCACCAACAATTGCATTTATAATTCCAAAGGAGACCATTGAAAAAATTGGTCATTCTTCAATATCCATATTGGCTATCCGTCACTGGCGCAAGAAATGTTGATAACTATGTAATGATTCTATTGATTACACGACTTTTTAGTGGCTTTATTTGAATAAGAAAATGAATTACAAATTTTTCGTTTTTTGATTTAATTACAACAATTACAATCAATCCAAAAAATTAGTGTATCCATTGGCCACAAAAATTGGCCGGCCACTGAAGTAATGACGAAGTATCAATTGGATCTTAGGGCATTGGCCATTTTTTTTTATGCAAAAAACGTAATACACAAGGAAATTCAAACATTGTTCAATTTTTTATTCATTTTTCTTTGTCACACTTATATTAATTAAATATTTGATGTCTATTCCTATAGTTATTCATAGGCTCTGGGAATGAAAACTCCAGGATCTCTGTTGATTGACGAATTATGTCTTCTTATTTGGATGGCTTCAATAATTTTCCTCGGATTTTTCAACCTGGTTTCCCCCTGTCAGTGATGCAGGTAAGAGGGGCTGACATGGAAAAAGCATCTAGTCGTTCGAATGGGACAATAAACCAAGGCCCTGTGTGTACGTTAACGATCCCTCGACAGCTGGAAATCGGAAAAGAGCAGGCTTATGCCGCTGTCCTGGCAAAATTTCCCTCATTGCACCCTGTATGGCGTTGGCCGTCTTCATTAGCTCACATGGTGCAGAAAAGTAGAACGAAAAACTCATTTCATTTCAATAATTTTCCTTTCTTTCTTATTGCTTTTGTTGATGACTAATGTAATGGTTTCATTCCAATTGACTTTGTGGCCTGTAACTTTTATATGATCTTGGATTGCTGATTGGTTGTTGGATGAATTTTATTGATGTTCTTTGACCCTTTTTTGAAGTGGTCTCTTCGTTTCCCCTATGTACGATTCCCCACAAGAACAAAAAACTTAGTAAACACATCCTTTGGGGTCAGCTTGATTTTTTGGTTGTAGTTTACCATTTGCATGAATGATATCTTTTAGTGTATTTTGGCCAATAAAAACAGTTTCAATCCCATTTTGTTTTAACAATCTTTTGATCTTGTAAGATGAGTTCCCATTGAATGGTATGCTCACTCTGATAGGTGGAGCTTCTGGTTTAGTTGTTGGTTTTGCTGTTGGGTGTTTCATGGCTTTAGCTATTGTTTGGTTGACTAGGTGTTCAGGGTATTGTTTCAGGTTTATTAATACATGTTTTAGATCATTGCCACCATATAATGATAGGTTAGAGCTCATTGCCACCATATAGTTAGGGTTCATTGCCACTATGTAGTAAAAAGGTTAGGGTTCCTTTTTACCATATTGTTAGGGTTCATTACCACCATATAGTGAAAAAGATTAGGGTTCATTGCCACCATATAGTAAAAAAGGTTAGGGTTCATTGCTACCATGTAGTATAAAGGTTAGGGTTCATTGCCATCATATAGTAAAAAGGTTTAAATAGAGTTCATTGCCACAATATAGTTAAAAAGATAGGGCTCATTGCCACAATATAGTAAAAAGGTTAGGGTTCATTGTCACCACATAGATAGGGTTCATTACCGCCGTATAGTTAAAGTTCATTGCAACCATATAGTGAAAGGGTTAGGGTTCATTGCCACCATATAGTTAGGGTACATTGTCACCATATAATAGTAAAAAGGTTTGGGTTCATTGCCACCATATAGTATAAGGAAAGAGTCCATTGCCACTATATAGATTATGGTGGTTGAAAGGCACTATCCAACAAAAGGCACCGGCACAGGGTTAAAGCAATTTTCACAAATGTTAAGGTTCATATATTAAAATGGAAATTCATACTCATAATCCAAAGACCTAAAAAACGATAAGATTTTACTGTATTATTCAAAAAAAATAAATAAAAGGACACTTCAATTCTTGCACTTAAAACCTACTTGTGAACTTGGCCAGTGCTTCTATAAGAGAGTATCTCTTATAAAACTTTATACTGAAATTAAAAATTGTTGATTTATTAAAAGTAAATTTGAAATTACCATATATCCATTTAAAGAAAACCAAATGCTAGATGAACTAAAATAAACACCAGTTTTAATGCCCCAACATTGCACTGAAATAATGAAGCACTGATCAATCTAAATGTTAAAAAATATTAAAGATTGAATCTAATCAATTGAATAAAGTCTACCACGAACATGGATATTATAAAGTTTTCTATTTTTTGAGTACGCTGTGACTAGTTTTTTTATACGCCCACATCTCTCTATGTGGACGTATATTGTCGGCACCCCTGTCCATCAGTCGGTCGGTTTGTCTGTCAACATTTGCTTGTAAACGCTCTAAAAACTAGATTTTTTTGATGGAATCAAATGAAATTCGGTATGTGTATACATATTCATAAAACGAAGATCAAGTTCGAATTTGAACTATTTTGACCTTTCGAAGCAGAGTTTCTTAGTTTTCAACCGATTTGGATGAAACTTAAAATGGATGTTTCGTTTTTACCATCCGCATGCCGTGAAGGGCGTATATGGCTGTGGTCCACTATCTTTATAAAAGATGGTTATAAAAGATCTTGCATAACAATTATTACATTAACAATCCATGAGATTTGGCATGAAGTACTGTTGTATTGCGTGAAAAATGGTATAATCTGTGAATCGAATTGGATATTTAAACCAGAGGGAGAAACAGTTTGAAGTTGGTTGATCCAAAAGCTCTCCCTGTATAGTCATGATGATTTGAGGTTGATTTCTTCTTCCAAGATAACCTGTTCAATTGGTGTCACTTTCATATCACTAGGATTATGTTTGGTGGAGTTAAAATGATTTCCAATGGGTTTATCAAGATGGGGTTATCGAATCGTTGACCGTTTATTCGTTCTCTTAAAGAATTTTTCTTTCTCCTACGTATTGTTTTGGGCATTTTTCGCAAGATATTAAGAAAATTATCATAGTACTAACGTGTAAAAGTTAACCATTTATCAAAAATTGTTTGCTGTTTATTTTATTGGAGAAACTAGCAGTTGTTGAAATTATTATAATTAACATTACCGGTACTTTTTTTTTACTATTTTAGGTAGACATTTTCCAGATGTACATATTGGAATTTAAAGAAAGAGAGGGTTCACCATTGTTTCATTTAGAACATTTTATAGAAGGACATTACATCAAGTATAATTCCAACTCTGGTTTTGTTGAAGAAAGTGTCAGATTAACTCCACAGGTAGGCTTAGTTGTTATATTCCTTATTGTACTCTATCCATCTCTACAGAATATTCGGGCAGAAATGATAGTCATTCCTTCAGAAATTCTTTACACCCTTCAACATCACATGATGTTTTAAATAACCAGTTACGTGTACCAATTTGTTATGTTATTATTATTTCATTTTCATTATGCAGTTCTGTGTTACTGTGTGAAAAAAAAGTTTATATATCACTTTAAATATATTTTAGGCATTCAGCCATTTTACCTTTGAAAGATCTGGTCATCAGTTGATAGTTGTTGATATACAAGGTGTTGGAGATCTGTACACTGATCCACAAATACATACTGTAGAAGGTACTGAATATGGTAGTGGTAACCTGGGCTGTAAAGGCATGGCATTGTTCTTCCATTCACATACATGTAATACTATCTGTGAGGGGTTAAATCTCTCTAATTTTGATTTGTCTGAGAATGAGATAGCAACACATACAGAATTCCTGAATAAACAGGTAAACTTTACATTATAAAATACAAAACAGATTGTATAAAATTAAGTGAATGATTTTGAAATATATTTGTAAAAATCTGTTTAAAGCAATTAAAAGATATATTCAGAGAGAATGCAAGAGTTTGATATGATTATATTACAGAGAAACTTTGCTACAACACGTATCAGAGGATCAGAAGAGATGTGTACAAGTATTAGTTGTTCACCTAAAGAACGTGTAGATATAACACATCTATTGGCACGACAACATTCATATGCATCTAATAACAGTGGAAGTGGCAGTCCTATGTCACCTACAGTAGAAGAAGATGATGAGAGCTCGGTATTTATTGGTAGTCCTAGAACTAGACGACTTAGATATGTTAGTGAATCAGACAGTATGTCCATGACTGAGGTTAATATTACTAACACTTTTCTTTTTTCATTTCCCAACAAAGGTATAGCAGATAATACTTATTCATTATAACTCAATTATAAACTTATATACAAAATTGCTTTTGATGTCAGAAATGTCATACAAAATTTAATACATAACCTATTTATTATGTCTCCTATGTTTATTGCCATTAGAAATCTATATATATACAGCTTAATTGTTGTACATGACTGATAGCATTTATTTCTTTGGGGTAATGATACCTTTAAAAGTTCATAATCTGCAATCATTCAAAACAAAATTTAAAGTTAAAAAATAAATTGGACAAATATTGATTTCATTGTGTTGAACATATATAGCCATGACATAATGATTCTAAAAAAGGTCCATAAGGAGGAGTAGTTAAATGATATGAGTTGTCATTTCAATTTAAGCAGATTAAAAAGAAGGTATTCATTTCTCTAAGTTGTCATTTTGTTAAGAGTTAAGTTAAAAAAATGTCAATAATATTGTTCCAGTTAGGTGAGTTATGATATGATAGAACCTTTTCAGACTACCATGAATTAACTTTGTATTAATATTGTTATTTATTTATGTATTAATATACGCCTTGCACATGTTGTGTGTTATCACTTTTGGTTTTATTGTTAAAGTGTGATTTTTATACGCCCACATGAAATGGGGTGCGTATATTGTCGTCACCCATGTCTGTCCGTTCACAATTGCTCGTAAACACTCTACAAGACACAATTCTTGATGGATTTGGACAAAACTTGATGTGAGTGTTCGTAATCACGAAAGGATAAACCCTATTGAAAATCAGAAGAATCGAAAAATATTTAGTATGAGTTATTACCCTTGTTCTTGAAAATGCGTTCAATTTTTAGCTTGTAAACACTCTAGAAGGGACGATTCTTGATGGATTTTGACGAAACTTGGTTATATCTTTCAGTCCTGCGCTGAAGATTTTCCTTCTAGAGTTTTCACGAGCTAAAAATTGAACACGTTTTCAAGATCAAGGGAAATAACTCGTACTCAACATTATTCAGTGTCGCCCTAAAGAGTTCAAAAGAAGTGTATGACTGAAGGTTGAATATTTCTTACTGGTACTGGTGATTGTACAATCACCAGTATGAAATATTCAACCTTCAGTCATACTAAATATGCTAAATATTTTTATTCAAAATCAAAGCTGCCAGTGGGCGTATATTATCTTGCCTGGCAAGCTATCTTATTAATAAGTCAATAAGGAAAGGAACAATGTTATTCTAGGCTAGGGTTAATATCTTTCATTCACTTTCATCTCTAGGAACTTTTTCCAAAATCTTCACTTTAATATAGTTCAGAGAACATTTAACCACCCCATATTTTATGCTGGCAACACTTGTTATTTTTTATGAGTTACCAAATAACTTATTGAAGCAATATTTAGCTTTTTGATAAGCAAGGAAAGTGGAATAGTGATAAATTTGTAACTTGTGAGAAACAGCTTATCCTAATATTAATATGATTGATCATTTTTGTAGGAGGAAGATAGGATAGCCTTCTCCAGAGCACAAGCTGCTAAAGCCAGACCATCTTGTGTAGCACATGAACTTGGTTTAAGACGAACAGCTTTATTAAGTATTGGTGATTCTATTCTTGGAAAGGTAAATATACTGTCCCCTTAACGGCTAATTGCATTTTTCCTAATTGCACACCGACACCTAGTCAAGTGTGATTATTGCCTTGATATGTGCTCGCTAAAAAGGATATATTTTACTACAGACCTTATATTTTAATAAGAATGTGCGTCCTGCAATATTGCCATTTGCCATTAATCACTGAGAATTTTTACCAGCTTGTTCACTTGTCCTTTTTATTGTCAGAAAACCTTCTTGCCCGTTGCAGCAAGATTTTTGGTTTATAGGTTAGTTAAATCTATAATAAAATTGCCTCCTCTGCATTTTTAGCATAAATAGAGGTGAAGAGTTCAATCAACAACGAAAGTCAGGCAATACCATACCTAAGAAAGGGAATTTTCGAGAAGTCATTCTTTTCCTCTAAAGTCAAGTTATAAGTACATTTAGATGATAATAACAGATGTAGAAATATTGTTATTTACATCATTTCAGTCTGTCATTAATTTCTTATTATGGTTTTTTGCTTCAAGTCTTGATATTAAATAACACTAACTTATTATCAAGGTCAGCTCACATAGATATGGCCACAAGATATCAAAACTGTACTAAGTAATTTATTTTAGATTCATCATGAAATGGCTAAATATCATGAAATAGGAAGATTTTCTGTTGATCCTGAAGTAATAGACTGGCCTTCAGCATTATACCATGAAGAACATGCAGCACAGTTAGGTGTATTGGAGGCTATATTAACTATGGCAAGGTTATATCTTGGTTTACAGAGAGATGTCTTAGTGAATGCTGAAGTTGAGGTATTAATATTCTTTTAATCAATAGAACTCAATAAAAATGATGATAAAAATGAAAATATACAATTTGGGAATTTAATTTATTTCATTCAATGTGTAATATTTACATTTTATTGTCACATGCAACAGTGAACCCATGTGAAAATTTGCATTCATTTAAGGATTAAATGTAGATTTTTTGGCATTCATTGGTTGATGAACGCAGAATTTTCAAGCGACTTTGCCATTCATTCGAATTAACACGTGAAAATTCAGCGTTCATCAATCAATGAACACAAAAAAATCTACATTCAATCCTTAAATGATATAGGTGAAATATCAATTCCCTTAGTTTTATAATTGATTGATATTTCTGTTCCAGCAATCAACAGAAAATACCAATATAGGACTTGATTTTATGGGACAAGCAGCTCAGGCTGGTGATAGATTTGCCATGTTATATTTAGCCAGGGCTTATGAAACAGGAGATAACCTTGGAACTTTAAGGTAAAGATATTTAAATATTATGTTACTATTAGATAAATTGATTGTAAGGAACTGAATCAGATTACTATTCTATGTAAAATACAGACTAAGGTTTTTAAAATGATATTAATTGATTATAGATCAATGTGCTGGGAAGATGCTGCTCACTGGTATCAAGAGGCTCTGGAAACAGAAGATAATGATGAAAGTGGTGAATATGATTCTACCATGAATGATCCACCATATAGTATTCAAGCTAAACTAGCAGAGCTCTATAAACAAGGTGGTCATGAATTAGATAAGGATCCACAGAAATCAGGTAATGTACAATATATTGAGCATGGGTTTCACATATAATTTCTAGCAGTTTATGAGATTATGAGTATGCTCAGTTCAGTTCAGCTGTCATAATAAAAAAGGATGGGCCATAACTAATACAAATGTGAAGATTGTATTTAAGGGGTGTATCTGGAGAACTGTGTTTGAAAAAAAGGACCCTGTCAGATGTTTTTTTGATCATTAGACATAGTCTTCAGCCAGAAATTCAAAAGTGAAATAATTTTTATCATTTGTAGGAGATCTATATAATGAAGCAGCAGAAGGAGCAATGGCTGCTATGAAAGGAAGATTAGCTAATAAATATTTTATGTTAGCTGAAGAGGCTTATGCTGAAGTTGAGGAGGAGGAATAATGTGTATAATCTATATATAATACCATAGTTAAACCATCAATATTTAACCACTTACAGTACATTAGATATACCATCCAAATTTAATAAAACCATAGTAAAGCTAAACCTTTATTGGTTTCAAGTATAGAAATTTTACCCTAATTATCATGACACATAAACAGATCAATAACCGTATAAAATAATGTAATATTCAAATTAAGTATTAGTCTCAGACTCTATTACCATAATGTGTATAATATCAGTAATTTGTTTTTGTTTTTATTTTCTCATTTTTGATATGATATCCTTTGATAATTTTGTATTGTTGCATCATTTGAAACAGGTAGTTTTGTCTGTAAGTCAATTTTATTTATTCTGAGTGAACCAGAGTGCATTACATACAGTTTTTATGTTTTTTTGATGTTGTTTTGATGTTGTTTTTTGGGTGATGTTGGTGTTTTGATTATTGATAATTGTTATAGTCCCTGTTTCTCATTCTATATGTTTATAATAGATGAAAATAAGACTTGAGTTTTCATCATTCATTGCATTTTCAAGGCATATATAAGTATCAGTGGTTGTTTGTATTATTGTTTTGAATAAAATAGATTGTTTTTAGCACCATGGAAAAAGACCAGTCTTAATTTTCATGGACATTTTTGTTAAATTAAATAAATGACTAGCTGATATATAGTTTTATCTGCTGGAAATATAAACCATTTAACATAAACTTTATCTATAATCATTTAGTGTCTGTAATTCAATATTTTTCATATTAGTTCAAACTTGTCCTTAACATTAAATTTCTTATGAGAATTCCTTTATTACAGGATTTAAAGCTTATTAGCTTCAGTAGTCAAGGTCATCATATTATATGAAAAAATAAGGAATATTCCTTCTGAGAAAAAGAAAGCAGCAGAATTTGATAGATCAAGGTTATCATAATAAGTATTGTCATAATAGTTTATATGTATGACCATAGTGTAAAATGATCTTCAAACTATTTCTTATAAAGGAGTTTATTTTAATGTAGTGTCACTTATAGACTAGTTTTATGTGATGGCATGTTTGAATATTAGTAGTATGTACTGAAACTTTATTTTAAATCGTGATTTGAGACAATGTGAGGTTATGGCTTTAATTGGCTTTGTGGTACAGTTTAAGATACAGTGTTTCTTTGAAGAATTGAAATATTGGTCTTGTAAATTTGTGTAAAAATGTATTTAATGCTATTGGGTTTGTGAATTTAATTGTATCTCTTAGCTCTATTTACCTGTCATGATGTGATGTTAAAAATAATTGATATGCAATGGTGTTGGATTGTTAGTGGATTCAGTTTTGTCAGTTATTTTATTTTAGGCAGTTTTCAACCATTTTTTAACACTTACATAATTTGAAATTAATGTGAAATATTTTAATTGTTATAACCACATGTTTTTTAATAAATGTTCTTATCCAATATCAGAATAGTGCTATTTAAATGAGTCTTTCTTTTTTGCTTTACGTGAATATTTCTAAGCATCAATTTATAATTTAAGTAATCAGGCCACTTTTTCACCCTTCTAATGCAACAAAAGCAGCCTGCTGAAATTTTAGAATAAGGCTTCAATACAATATTTTTTTCTTAAAATGAAAATAAGAAAAGTGTAATATTACAACCTTTACAATAAAAGCTAAATGTGTCACATGCAGATATTAGAAGCACAAGTTTATTATGTTTTATAATAATATTTGATATAACAAACAAGCAATAAGCTTCAACAGAAGTTTTTATAGCACAATTTGAATATTTGGTAGAGAAATAAGGTGCTGAAACTATAATAAATAACTACAGTATGAATGGTGATGGTGTTAATGATAAATGTGGTATGGATGTTAAAAATGTTCTTGTTTTGTTGAAAAACCACTTAACAAATGCCTTTATGATTTAACCTTTTAGCCACATGGGTGTGCATGTGTTGGGGAAGAGGTATTTATTTACATCCTGGAATGGTTCTATACCTAATCAGTCCACTTAATTTTGAGGTAGTGTAAGTCAGGCTGTTATTGATTCAGTTGCCAATTATATAACATTGAAACAAATTAGAGTGATCTGAAAAGAAACTTCCCCAATGTAGATAAATATTTTTGTTAAAGTGGAAATGGCAACTTGAATATTTGTGTTGTTCTATTATCAATGTATATAAATTTGATAATGTTTCCATTTTACACAATTCCTAAATGTTTTAATGTGAGCATTGTTTACGCACTTATTATGTAAGCACTTGTTGTTTATTGCTTTTACATTAGAGGTATTATGTTAGGAGTGTTCATGTTCTGAAAAATTGTGGAAAGAAATGTCAGACCTTGGAAAATAATGGGTAAGCTATGGCACTTAAACCCTGGCCTATGCCTTTGTAATTTCAATTATATATTGTCTTTACAACCACTTTCACCCAAACTACTACTGGAAGTGAAATTGGTGTTTCCCTTTCAATATGCTAAAGATATGAAAGTTTGACCTCTAATGTACATCAAGATTATTGTTGATTTTATAAACTTAGGACCAAACTTTACATAATCAACATAGCTAGATGAAATATTTGTAATTATTTTTTTTTAACTATTATGTATGAGTTTTTATAGAGATAGTAGAAATGGTTAGTTTTGAATTTGTCGTATTTGAATACAGATTAACTATATAAACCTAATAGAAATTGTGCCATAGGATTAGAAACAATATACCAGGACACAAGACAAGCTGTGTCTAATATTTCAATTAAATATTGGCATTTTCTTCAAGATTTTAATAAAAACGGATTAGCTGAAAGATAAAACAATGTCTTATAAATGATTAAATTAACTGGATTTTGGATTGACAAAAATATTCTCAAATTAATGTTCTGTAAACAAATCAAACATGTGAATTTGCCAATATTTAATAAAACTCAGCCCTATGCAATATTACTTAATTCATTATCGCTAAATGGATCTCAGTCTTTGTTATTTCTATTTATAAATCCAAAAAACCATAATGCTCAACAACCATATATTAACTATGTATGTTTGCAAACATTTCCAGATTTGTATTATTTGGCATATTTTAAGCTTTTCTTATTATCTTCTATATATTCTCTTAATAAAGTTGATAAAACATAATATGTGTATTGTTTATGTAATATTTATAGCCTGAATGGCACAGCCAAGTGGTTAACAAATGCTATAAATTACTTATAACATAATTGACAGATGGGAGAGTGGCCCTCGTGGTATGTAATAACCATTGCAGTTCTTTAAATGCTGTTTTTTGGTATATAAGCTGATGGTGTTTGTTACATCATAATTGTAAATGTAAAATATTTACATTACATAAACAACAAAGTCTCTATTTTCATGATAACAATTTATTTTGTTTGTCGTGCTATAACTTCAATTTAAATCATTTATACAACAGCCAAGCACCAATACAACAAAAAGATCAAAGGAAATTGACGATATGTTATAATTCCTTAATATACAATAATGTCAAACTCCTACTGGTGATGTCCAATTGCCAAATCAAATAGCCTTAACATACTTTGATAATTTGCAAGGTATTATTTAATGTAAATGTGTGCAATAATGCATATATTTCAGAAATTTTGAACACTTATCTTCTGCATTTATTCTCCCAGAGGAAGGCTACTTAAAATAACAAGCAATGTGTTAATGTCTTCAATTTGGCAGTGTCAATATACTTTAGTATACACAATATTGAAAAGAAAAAAAACATTTATGTCATTTATTTCTGACAAACTTTTTTGAAGTTTTATTATCACAAAGTGTTATAGAATTATCAATATTCTATAACTGGTCAGTTTCTCTACAAACATTGTAGTTCATATCAAACAATAAATATACATATAGAAATACATGATGGCCTAAACGAAATCAACCACTCTATAAATTACATAAAATAACAAAAAAAATACCTCATCTAACAACAGGTGTGTCGGGTAATAATAAATATATAAATATTAAAACAAGTGAATTATAACCACCAAAAACTTCCCTGAATTTCCCAAGACACAGAATCTCAAATATTTAATACTAATAATTTCTTTTGAATATGAGTAATCGAGATTGGGGTGGTTGAGTTTTTAACACTAGATATTGAGAATTAGCAGAGATAAATAGTTGATGTATTTTATGTTCAGTTGATAAAGAATATAGTTCTAAACCAGTATCAGTTGACCATAGCTTAATAACTCCATTTAAACATACTGATACTACCCATTTACTATCTGCTGATATTCCAATATGACTTACCTATATAAATAAACAAATAAAGAGAATGATTATTAATGACTTAATGATAAAAGAAAAGTAGAAGACTTACTACATATTACTCAATATCACCTGATTACTCATTACCTGATACCCTATTCCTAAAAAAATAAATATTTATAAGTAATAGCTTATTATATAAGTATCTGATAAAACTTTACAGTAAAGTTCTACTTATGAAAAGTAAACCAAAAATATGCATTGGATCAAGTCCCAATTTTAAGGACAAATCTGCAATATATTTCATTTATATCTTGACGACAGGTTTATTTTATATAATAAATGATGTCTCAACAAGGAAGAAAACATGACAGAACAAAGCTTTCTGACAGAAAATACTGTAAACTAAGAAAACTATAAAAGGATAATACTTACTTCTGCTGAATGTTTGGTGGTAGGACATCTCATATCAATAGGTAAACCTGTTTCTGAACTATAATTTATAACATAACCATCTTGAGATCCAACAACAATCCATTTCTTTTTAGGAGATTGTTGGAAACATGTATTATGACCTCGACATCCTTGTCCGACCCAATCTGGACGATAAATCATTACCCGCTTACTTCCCTTTGACATTTGTTGATCACATTTTCCTGTAGGTATATCCCAGAATATAGCATGACGTCTTGCAGCAAACATGATTAAATTACCCTTAAACGGTATTGCTGTTTCACATAATGACGGTACTTTAGTCATCTGACGGAAACATTGTAAGACAGTACAAGATTGTGAGGTGATGTCTACAGCAGCTAGTCTGTAAGGATGACGTTGTGAAGAAAATGTATTTCCACCTTTCCTCCAACTATATTCAATGGCTGCTCTATCTGCATCAGTAGATAGTGCTTTCAGAACCAGAAACCTATTAGAAATACTGATGAATATTTCAATACTAATAAAATCAAATAGTTTTTGTAGAGTCATAGATTTGAGCAGCGTCATTTTCACCAAATCCAGAATATGGATGCTAGTTTTTTCTGATTTACTCAGTAAGTAGGCAGTTTTTCTGTCTTCGCTTAAGCTCATGGCTATGACATCCTGAGGTACCTGTTTTTGAAAAGCATCTTCCCCTGTCATCACGTGAAATATCTCCAAAGATTTTTCATTTGTATTTAATCCTAGTACAACATCACTATTATCCAACAGCATTTTATCAAAACTACTAGATTTATTGTAATCAGTCACAAACTTGGCATCACTGAGATTCCATAATTTGATATGGCCGTCTTCATGACTGGTGATCAGAATCTCTCCACAATTAGCTACAGCAATAGATACCACATCTATTTCATTTAGTAAATCATTTTCATCATCACTATTAGAGTCCACCTCTTCCTCTTTTTTCAAATTTTCATAATTCAAAAGTTTCATTTCATTTTCCACATCAAGGACAAGAATATTTTCTTCTAGTATTTTGATATTTTGTATTGGAACACCATATTTACTGACTTCATAGATAGTATTACCAGTGATTGTGTTATATAGAGTTATCTGTCCTGTCTCATCTGCCATTACAAACAAATCACCATCAGACGACAAGTCACATGACAATATATTACAATCATGGCAGATTTTGTGCTGAATTTTACCTGTTGATACATCAAGAAAAACAATCTGACGTCCATGACAAACAGCAGCTTGAGGTTTTAACAATGAGGTCAGTAAACAGGTGATATCATTATCTTCAGATGATGGTAGGTCAACATGAAACAGCAATTCAAAATTATCCACTTTATAGATATTAATATTGGACTCCCAACAAACAATAAGGTAATCAGAATGAACTCCACTCAAAACTTGGCAATTGCTCATTTCTAAATCACTTGTTTCATTTTCTACCCCACCATTTTTATTTCTAGATTTCAAAGAGCCATGGGTTCCTGATTTATCTTGACACACAAGTAGAGTTTTGAGGTCTGGTTCTTCAGTACAGGTGATGTTGGTGATGATGTCATCAGGTTTAAAGGTTGTTACAGTTGATAAATCTTTCAGTTTCAAAATAGTCACCTGGTTATTGGGAGTGAGGTAGCCAAGATGAGTTGAATCAGAATTAAAAAATAATTTATTCACTTTCTGGGATTTCAATGATTTGGATCTATGTTTTAGATTTGCTGTGTTGTAAACAGTTAAGTCATCTCCTGTCAACACAGCAAGTTTATTTTCTGAAGGTGAGAATGTAGCCATTATTGAGTCTTTGACGGAGAGCTCAAGATTTGACATGGTGTTTTGGAGAGAGTTGTACAGAATCACTATAGATTCAGCACCATCAAGTTTCTTCAATAAAGCTAAAGATATAGCTGTAGCTAACAATTCTAGTTTACCAGGTTGATCAAGAAATTGAGATTTGTTTAGAGTCTTTCGTTTTGATAAACATGGGAAAGTTGGCATCAATACAGGAGCATCATGGTTTCGAAACAATTTCTTACAATTATCTAATAACAATCTTAAAGCAATATTTGTATCTGTTGGATTAATAAACGCCAACAGATTACCAGCTAGGACGGGTTTTGATTTCACATTGGTTTTATTTTCATCAAAAAATGTCTGAATCTTCTTTATTTCTTTATCAGGATGATGATGCATGAAAGTATCACATTCTTCAATAAATCGAGCTATAGAATAACAGTTAATAAAGGCAAAAATATAGTTTAAATTACAGAAAACAGATTGTTTAGCTGTATCTACTGAAATAATATGAACACCATGGTTTATGTGATGTAGCATACACTCTAGTTTTCTAGGATTCACACTAGATAGGACTTGTGGAACTACCTGTCTATCAGCTGATTTTAATAATAAATTTCTTTTACTCAAATGAATATCTTTATACACACCATTCTCTGCTGAGAATAACTCAAACAACGTTTTATGAAGTGTATATTTATCATCACCAGTAACATATCTTTTAGTAGCTGCTTCAATAAATTGTCTATGATACCAAAACACAGTTGTCTTTCCTTGAGATAAACGTTCAACAAGGTATTCTTGTATCTCAAAACGTATTCTAGCCCATAGAACAGGTGGTATACGTATCAGATTAGGTACAGGGGGATTATGGTAGCGATATACTTCATCTAAAACATAATTATCACAAGATAATGCATCTTCTAGTTCTATTTCTGATAATCCATTAAAACCAACAGTAATAAATCCAAGAGCACTCTTTATTAACTGACGACCAAATTTCTTTTCTAATTCATCAAAGAGAAAATTTATAGCTTGTTGAATGTTGCTTGTTGTTTTTATATGTCGCTCTAATGTATATGATGCCCATGTTGAAGCCTCATCCAATAATAATTTAAGATACAATGGTGTTGGTGATTGGTGAAATTGTGATAATAATAAAACCATTTGCTTTGTGGTGATTTGTCTTTTCTTTTTACTCAAATATTTTTCAATTATTTCTTTCCCTGTTTCTGGAGGCAGGATGGGGACCTGCAGAAAATTATCAGGCTCTGTCAAAATCTTTTGGAGATTTTTCAGGATACCATGCTCTTTTGGTAATGTTGATATAATGATCTTTATATTTGGAGGTAGAAATAGTGGTAACCATAACATTGAGAATACATCATGATCATCTGTCAATTGGTCAATAGAATCTAATAAAATAACAACAGGTTTACGTAGTTTGGTGGACATACTGCGTAAAAATCTTGGAATGTATCCTACTAATGTTGACATTTTCTTATAAGCTACTGGTTCCATGATGGTGTCTGCATTATCAGCAATTTGACCACAAACACTGCGTAATACATTATAGATATTAATAGTGTCAGGTGAGGTACCAAGAAATCTAATTATACCAATATAATCAGAATTAATCCATTTCTTTAAATTCTTCATAATCATGGCCATAAGTGAAGTTTTTCCTGCCCCAGATTCTGCTGATATGACCAATGGTTTACGGTTTGAATCATCCAATATGTAGTCTTTAGCTTTATTTAAAATTTCTTTCTGTCCACAGAAAGTTTCACATTTAGTTAAACAGAATTTTAAATGGTGAAGAATTTCATCAAAATGTGAATAATATTCAGATTGTCGTATTTTGTTCTCTTTCTCATGTTTTGCTTTAGCTATCAGACTTATTACATCTGAGGTAAAAGTATCACAGAATTGTGTTAAATATTTCTGATGTTCTTTATTATTATCAGGATCAATTCCATCAGAATTCCATATAACATTAAATATTTTGATACTTTGTGAACCAACAACTTTCTCTACTTTTTTATGAACTAATGAATTCAACAGCTCTTCAGTTTCTTCATTAACTTGTACCTGTATCATATATAGAGAATAGTAAAAAAAAACTGGAAGTTGACTCTGTTATATAAAACTTCATAAAATGATCCTAAATTGATACCAAGAGCTGAGCTGAGGCAGATTACAACAAATTATTATAAACTTTCTACAATAAAGATTTAAAGGATTAATACATCTGATTGAATTGAATGTGAAATTTAAATTCTCAAACTTGGCCAATATGAGTAGCATAATTTGACAAAATCCCAATGATTACTTGTAGTTATATGAATAATTACTTAATTCTACATATTCAGCGTATCATAGAGGGATTCTGTTGTACAGTTATGACACCAGGTAAGTCAACTGATGAATATATATTTTTATTGGCCAAGTTTGAGAAATAAATTTCTATGTTCACTCTGTGATGAAGAATTCCTTAAAGGTACAAAGTTTTAAGAGAGAGTTCACAATAGAGTATTGAAGGAGTTATCTCACCTTGCCATCTGAATTGATACATTCAATATATTTCTGAGTGATGTTATTCTCTAAATCATCTTTTAATCCAATTAATTTACGTTGATAAAATAATGTCTGTTGTTGACTGTTTTTATTTTCTAAAATACCATTTTCTATCTCGCTCTCTGTTACTGCAATTAAACACCATAATCAAGTTTAAACTAATTATACAATAAGTTTAAATCATTTATTTAATAATCATGAAATCATAACATGTTTTACTTTACTGCACATTATAATTGGAATTTAAGGTTGTAACATTGCAGTTAAGCAATGTTACGAAATCACAGGCACAGGTATGTAGGCATAACCTCTAGTGATAGAGAAATGTTTGTGAAGTTAGTTTAAAAAATAATATAGAATATTTGAAATGCAGATCCATAATCTTCTGAATCTGAAATATAGACGAATACTGGTTCCAACAGGAACCATGGAAATCATAATAAACATTTTTCACTGGTGAAACTGATTATAATTGGGTTAGTGAAATTGGATAACACCATGCTGACGAATTCACTGAAAGTCTTATCGGGTTGTCATGGGATTTTGCATGCTAAACATCTAAGTAAGCAAGCCAGCATTGAACAAGCTGAGCAATCAAAAAGAAGATAGCTTGCCAGGCAAGGTAATATACACCCACTGGCAGCTTTGATTTTAAATAAAAATATTTGGCAGTACAGTAACAATTATGAGTAACAGTAAGAAATATTCAACCTTCAGACATACACTTCTTTTGAACTTTTTGAGGCGATACCGAATAATATTACCACGTTTCATCAAAATCTGTCAAGAATTGGGCCTTCTAGAGTGTTTACAGGCTAAACCTTGAACACATTTTTTAAGAACAAGGGCAATAACTCATACTAAATATTTTTCGATTTTTCTGATTTTCGATAGGGTTCATCCTCAAATGATTACCATTAGTCACCTACAAACTTAAATAACACGCATTACAACTAACTCATTACCTGATTTGAAAAATGTATGTTTCTCTGCAGCTGAGAATTTTTTCTTTTTAAACAAAGAATCAGCAGCTAGTTGTGTCATTGTCTTTAATTTCTGTAGAGTTTCCTTCCAAATTTCTGCATCCTTTTTAGCCTCAGCTTCATTTCCATAAGAAAGATCTCCAAAATGAGGTAAAAATGTTGTAACATGTTGCAGAACATAATTTGGTGGCAAGTTATTTTCATCTAGTTGAAACCATTTGGAGAATAGCTCACCATCTTGAAAGTCAAGTTTTGTTATTTCTGAATTCATCACTTCAAATTGTTGAAGCGTTAGTTCTGTAGGTAGAGGTTGACCACCATATCTATGACTTACAAAGGCCTGAAATATCAATAAAAGTTTACTTCAAAAGTTTTAGTTGAAGATTTTAGAGTTTACAAGAGAATTAATGACATTTAAGAGTAAGACACTGCTTCTGGAAAAAAGAACACCTGTAACTATGATATAATCTTTCAGCACCATCAATATCCCTGCAAAACTTTTCAAGATACAACTCCAAAAATAATCTGCGATAGATGAAAGAAAAGATATGAAAATAGGGACTTACAATAAAGTTAGGTCCAAGCGAAACTCTCTGACAATTTTCTATTTCTTGTAAACATATTTTGGTAGCTGTATGATAATTTTGAGCTTGATCAGCTACACCCCATCTTAGATCTACAACTTGGAAATCTAAACCTATATCATTACAATATTCTCGTAATCTTGGAAACACTTTACTAGACAATATATTTCTTTCAGCATGGGTATCTATGGAAACAGATAAAATAAAAAATAATTAGAATATGGTTTAAGTGAAAATGGAACTAAGTTTAATCTGTGAGAATCAGCACAAAATTCTCCTTTCTTGTAGGCCTATTTGAGAAAAAGTGTTTGGCATCGAGCGGATGTAGTCTATAGCTTTTTTAAATAGTTTACAATGAAACAATGAAAGTTACTCACTAAATATTTTTAAAGAAAACTAAGAAATGTGAGTCGAACTATATCAAGTCACATAATAACAAAAGCTATACCTGAAAATGTTGAACTAAGAAATATTCTGACAATAGAGCGTGGTAAGGGAGGTAACCCAGTTAAATCACCAGCTATCATCTGTTCAAACTTCTTCTCTACATCCTTATCATACTTTGGTTTCTCTGAATAAAACAGATAAAATTATAATTTATTAGAATAAAAGATATTTTATATGTGTATATGTGTATATGGAAAATAAATACTGTAGTTATCAAGTAAAGATATGTACACACTATAACACACGAGCAATCCATTTTATATTAATGTAGAATAAATAGTTAGTAACACTATATAATATAATAATAAATTAAATTTTAATTCATAAAAATATTTGATAAGGAAAATAAATCAATCTAATAAATATGTAGGTTATATGTAAATATGGTCATGGAGCATGGTAAATTCTACTAGTATAATGCTCATGATTCTGATTTTACCTGGTTTATTTGATGTAACAGTTGAAAGTCTTGATACAGTAGAACTTGTATTGTTTCTAAAAAACATTAAAAAGATCAAATCATAGATAGGCTTCACGACAAGATAAACCATAAATCTCTTTCCCTTAATTCATAAAAATACTACTTAATTGTCTCATCAGTCTTGGGGTGTAATTCATTTTCCAAGTGAGAAACTGTAACAAACACTTGTTTGCCTGTTATTGTGTTATATTGGTAGAAACTTAGGATGTTTAAAAATTACCCCACTTTTTGGTAAAAAATAACATCATTATAATATCATGACTACTTTCTACTTAGATATCAGGTAATAGTACTATCTCAGTAAATATAAAAGACACAAATTACCTCGAGTTTCCATGAGTAACTTTATTAATTACCAAGATCTTATCTTGTGAGGTAGTATTCTGTAAATAAGATAAGAACAAAACATTCAAAAATCATCTATAGTATTTAAAATGAAATAAACTATCTGATTAATTTCTCTAAGAAAAACATCAACATGCATTCAAGTTATCACTGTTTTAAAATAATTGATTTTTTGTTTGAGTTTTTCTCATATGACCCTGATTTTAGGACGTGTTAACTGAGACTTGACAAGTAATTAAAAGGGTTAAGAGTGATATTTCACAGTAAATTAAGCATCAGATGATATTTCTATTTCTTACCTTTTGACTGCCAAAAGATGAAATTCTCCTTGTGATTGTTTTAGGACCTGAAAGAGTTTTATAACTTTTTAAACTTTTTACCTCTTAAGAGGACCAAAAAAAAATTTTAAACTTGGTCAAAGTGAGTTTTTGTTCATCAGTGGACTTACCTGGTACAAGGTAAGTAAAATTCTGACGTCAGTGCTTTCAAGATTTGTTGTGGTGTTTGCCTCAACTACTGTCACTTAACACATTATAATATTAAAATATTGAAACAACATTTAAGCTAACCTGCTTTGCCTTTAGGCGGCATAGTTCTTAATTATATTAATACACTGTTAAACTTGATATCAACACATTTTAGTTTATTTACCAAATCTACAAATAGATTTACAATGTTATAGAGGTTTAAACAAATCTAACAGATCAATCAAATTCAAAATTATATATATATACAAAAAAAATATTTACCCTATGGCTATGAAAAATCAAAATCAAATCCCTAAAAAACTAATGAATGTTTTTAAGCTCAAAGTTACTTTTCTCAGCACCACAGAATAACCAGATAGTCCAATTAAAGTTCCATCAATGAATGCAACCTAATCAACATAATTTGTTTTATCTAAATGAGAGGGGATCAATATATGCATAGATGATGATCCATACAGGGTTTTTTTTAAACTTAGAATGACACCTGAAAAGTCCAGTCAAAGAGTGTCATTAAGTGTTCAAAAATGGTGAGAGTCTCCTGTTACACTAATAATGACTCTCTTTTCAGTGTGCCTCAAAGGGTCCAAAACAATGGGTCCTTTTTTGGGCCGAGCTAAAACTCACTGACTGCGCACAGGATAATTGCACACATGAAAATATTTAGCCTAGGCTACACTTAACGGCACAAACTTTATCGTCAAAAGGGCTAGGGCCATGTCAGAATTTCAAAACAAAATAATCTCACCAGTTGAGGATCAAAGTAAAAATATTTCCTTTACACCTGACATTACCTGTCACAATTCCTAGCGCACTGATTGGTCAGCAGAGCGGAAGTACAAAGCTATTATTTACCTTAGAAACATTAAACTGTATTGGGTTTTCACTTTCTAATATCTATACTCCCAAATACAATAAACATTCACTAAAAACGTTAATATAATTGCTTCTTGCATCAAAATGTACTTCTCTAAATATTTCTAAAAAAATAAGAAATTTATTTGTGTACATGTTATTATCTATATAATTTTCAGTTGACACGAGTCTATATATATTGAAAAATTGAATTAAATGGGACATAACTCGTGACGGTATAAGTCTCTTTCAAATGTCTATTTCCCAGTAATATATCAGAGCTACACACAATCTAAGACGACCATGTTCTAACCCCATTACAGCTATAAATATCTTACATCAAAGGAGCCGACACATCAAACAAACCATAGCATAGCTTACAATTTCTATTTGAACTTGAATATAGATATTTTATTTATAAGGATATATGTTTACGGTAATTTCTTCACATGCGGTAAGAATGTCTTACTTTGCAGCACGAAAAAAATGGATACATAAAAAATAGAAAATTGATACAACGATGCAATCACGTTGTAACGTAAATGAAATCTAGTAAGTGATTGTAAATATTTTGTTGACTGTAGATTACGTATTTAAAAGAAATTAAAAGGGATCAGATAAGATATATCCTAATCATTACTTATATAAAAGAAACTAGCCTACACAAAATATATTATGTTCTATTTTAACAAATCTTACACAAAGGTTGAAATAATTTCTATCAAATATTATTGCGAAACTTTAATATTCAAAGTCAGTTGGTCTTCATATTTCTATGAAAATTTCGCCAAAAGATTAAAGATGAGTGAAATCTGGTGATCACGATTTAGGTTTTGACTGGTGGTGAAGATTTAAGATTCCAAAATAAGAGAATTTAAATTAAAAATAGCTGTTTTCATATTTCTTGGTGGGTGATTTCCGTGAAATAATACAGTCATATATTATATTGAAAATCTCAACAATCAGTGTACTGAATAGACGAAGTCTCTATTTATTCATCCTTTCTTCTAACATTCCTAAAGAGATTCTTGTAATTAATCTTAATTCCTTCATCAAACACAAACCAACATTTCGTTCCCATGCATGAGGCTCCTTGTATTTTTTTCTATCTGACATTGAAATAATGTGTATGTTTTGTTGGCCAGATATTCTAAAGAGTCAATATAAGAAGGTGCGAGCTGTGTAAACATCACCTTTATCATCTTTACCGGCAACTCTTTGATCTTCTTTGAAGTTTTGGTGAACTGTCAACGACAACAAAGCTCAATGCATAATGAAATACTGGTAGAGAATAAAACATGGGTATAAACAAGAGGAAATGGGTGAAAAGAGTGTTGTGATTAAGCCTATCTAACTCTACCATTCACAAACATTGGTTTTTATCTCAAATATGGTTGAAGATAATTTATACTTCTAAAATATCACTATTTTCATCTTATTTTACTATTTTTAACATGCATTTCTGACATAAAATCTCTGTTCTCTTTCAGATATAAAAATTCGGAAGATGGACTGATACAGACATATCCTTACTGTTTGATATCTGACTGATACTTGAGTATAAACTCGTATTATTATAAGTATATAACTGTTGAACTATATCAAAAAATATAATATGATAATTATAACGAATTAAATTATATTTTACATAGCGAAATGTGAATAGAAATAACAAATGTTTTCATTTTTTTCAATAAAGATCAAGGGATTTCAATGAGAGCGAAATTATATTTTATGACGTAAAAGAGTCTTTGATCTTTAAAATTAGTTATAATACAATCAAATTGCCTGCAATGGCTTTACTTCCAACTGTTTTTGCAGATTTCATACATCAGGTAACGCCGCCCTTTGTATTTAGTAAAATATTAGATTCAACATGAAATTAAAATAAGCATTATGTTAATTTTACATTTAAAGGATATGGTATCATTTAGTATGGTAAAAATACATTGATTTCTATAGAAAATGGTAAGCATAAAAACTCTTGTCTTTTTTTTTTGGATGGAGGTGGTATAGTGTATTTTTTTTCTCCACTTTTTGTTTCATGTTTTCTTGGACAAGAATACAGGTAGTTAGTTAATTAGGTTATAGATGCTAGTAGAAAGTACCAATTACTGATAGTTAATTAAAAACATCAACCATCTTTCTTCCAGTCATTTCGCCTAGCCGCATCCTACAACATGTAATTCTATTTTATTTTCTTAATGAAACAGAGTATCAAGCTTCATCAAACAGCCAGCTAGAATTAAGAAATAATAGTTGAGACATTGGCTTTTTACATTAACTTTCGCCTAGCGAAGAGAATTTTAGTCATTTAGACTCATTTGTATTGCTAATGACCCGCGTTAAATCTTAATACCGTTAAATTCATTTTGATATACCGTGTAAAATATTGCTAGTTAGAAAGAAAATAACCACCTTATCTTCTCCAACATCCTTTTACTTAATTGATATTTTTAATTAACAATTCTTTAATTATAAAGACAAGATGAATGTAGGTTGTAATAGTCAGGTAGAGAGTCTACATCAGGTATATTGTTCACATGTATTTAGATTATATTATTGATAATCCATTTTCAATTCTCAATTTAATATATCACAGATATTATAATTGTCTATTAAAACAATATGTTTTAATATAAACCAACCTTTATGTACTTAATGATAAGACAATAATAATAATAATAATTTACCTGGAATTGAATAGAAATCATAAAATATGTCGGACTATTTGGAGAAATATTGTTATTTGGCCTAACTCTATAGTAAAATTGAGTAATAAAAAAGACACAACCATACCTATATTTTGATATTAGACATTAAGACTAAGCTTAGAGTAAAGATTATTTGGGGTAAGAATCCTAGAAATATCACATCTGTGGCGTCACTTACACCCCTTTCAAGTAGCCTTACATTTAAAATT